TTTGGACGGTGGAAGACTCAAAGCAGCCTTTCATGAGCTTCAATGCTTCGCAAAGAGTCTACAAGAAGGCGTATTACTGCGTATTGATTATACGACAGCAGTTGCTTATATTAATAAGATGCGTGGCTCGCAGCTGGAATATTTGAACGATATAGCTTGGGAAATTTGGCAATAACGCTGAGAAAGTCGGAAGATTTTTATCTTCACCTCGTACATAGCGTTTAAAGAAAATTGGGAGGCAGACGAAGAATCGCGAAAACTGGAACTGGAGATGGAGTTTTTATTCGCAAATTTCGCCTTCAAAGAAATAATTAAAAGATTTGGAACTCCGAATATAGATTTATTCGCTAGTCACTCGAGTAAAAAATGTAAACGATTTGTCTCATGGAAAAGAGACTCAGAATCGGAAGCGATCGACGCATTTACGTTACGATGGAAAGATCTAAATTTTTATGCCGTTCCACCATTCGGCATGGTACTTAAAGTGCTGCGAACTTAAAATAAGGAGTGATTGCGGCAGAGGGCATTATCATTGTACTACAATGACGGGGCCAACCTTAGTACCCGCTATTTTAGGCAATGCTTGTGCAAAAGCCGATTAAATTTAAACCTAACAAAGACCTTCTTCTTTTTTCCGACAGGCCTCATCCAATATGGAAATCAATTACCCTGGTGGCACGGAAATTATCTGGGCCGCTCAATTAAACCAAGGAATCCCAGAATAAGCAGTGGAGATAAAATTAGATTCCATTGATAATTCAACTTTAAAGAATTATGATATCGCACTAAAGAAGTGGTGGCACTTTTGTCAGCAAAAAAGAGTTCAGCTCTAGGAGCCAACAATTACAGAATTAATAAAATTTCTTCATCTAGAATTCGAGAAAGGTATATCCTGCAGTTCCTTGAATGTGACAAGATCAGCTGTAGCTTTGATAATATCAAGAAAAATTTCAGAAGATCCAAGGTTACAGAGGTTTCTCAAGGGCGTGAAACTGAGACCGGCTCAGCCAAAATAAAATGCCACTTGGGATCAAAAGATAATACTTCACTAGCGGCTTTCCTCGCTCGTACTTCATTATTATAACAGTAAACCAGATAACAAATTTTTGAGTTTAAAAGAATTATCGTATAAATTAATTATTCTCTTAGCTTTAAGTACAGTTCACAAAATTCAGATCATATCTCTGATAATGATTTCTAACATGAAGTTTTTAAAAGATAAAGTTGAAATATTGATACCCGAAAAAATAAAAAATTCTAAAAATAATGTTAATCAACCCTTGTTGGTATTACCTATGTTCAATTGAAATAAAAAGATATGTCCGGCATCAATAATTCAAGATAATATCAACGTAACGCGCAAAAGGAGGCACTGTAGATAATTTGTTTTTATCTTTAGACGGCCCAGCAAAAGCAGTCTGTAAACAAACTCTTAGACGGTGGATTAAAAAGGTTTTTGAGGAATTGAACATTGACTTAACTATCTTTATAGCACTGTAGCGGCATACTGTATACGCTACAAGTCATTGGAATCCACCTTCGAGCTCACTCGTAGATATAAGATGTACAGACGAGACGAACCCCGTACACCTTGCCCCTATCACACATGTATATTCTTCTCCCATACACTTTAGCACTTGAGACCTAAAAAAGAGAGAAAAGCAAAGCGAGAACATCAAGAGTACACGATGAGACACACAGAATCAGTCGATACGATGCCTTCATCGTAAAGCACAATGGAACAGATGACACCAAGCAGACGAATGATAAACAGCGAAACCACACCAGACGCAATCAGGCAGTGTTGACATGTGAAACAAGCAGACAACTAACATCGAATTTTCGACACCTATCGATCAATATCGATTGGCGCTCGCGTGTCGCTTCAGAGGACACATGAGATCGACGACTGCGACCACGTTGCGAATCGGCCATTATTGAAAGTCTACTTGTACGCTACACACGTGTTACGCTGTGCCGAAAACGAGAAAGTGAAAGTACTAGTAAGAATGCAAAAGTGTGTCTCGAGAAGCATCTCTTCGCCTTCTAAGTGCTCCTAGTGACGACGTCCAGCCTCGTGGAAGCCGGCCATCGAACTTGTCGACGAAGATCGAAGAAAATAGAGTAAGCTAATTTAAGTAATTTATAAGTGCGAAACCACGAGCTCTCTCGTGATTAGTAGAATCTTCCCCCCTTGACCCCGCGTCCCTCCGAGACTTTTTTGCCAGTGTTAATTGCTCTCCGCTAAGCCAGACGAATATTTATGTAAGACTTGAAGACAAAAAAGATTGTATGCTGACAAAGACGAAATCTGTTAATTAGAATAATATCACTTAATATTTATTATTTCATTATTTGTATTTTTCGGTCCACGTGCCACGTTTCACGTGGTGGCGCCCTTGCTATCGTTGACCAACGAACTGTCATATCATTTGTATATTCAATAAATTATCATCTTCTCTTTTATTATACTTTAACCTAATAAAAAAGTTTTGTTATAATTTATCCCAGACGCCTGAAAACCCCCTTATAGCACATAGTTGTCGTCATGCGTCAAATTCATCGGCTCAGAGGTTGGGAGTTAACGTTGATATAATTACCAAAACTACAGGTTGGTCTAGTGAATCAACTGTAGCAGTACATCTAATGTACTGTCTACAAGTGGCGACTTACGAGGCCCGCGAGTCGATATTCACGCGTACACAATACGTGCCTACGAATCACCGTATGCAGCCAATTGAGGCACGCGCGACGCTGTGATCTATCGATCAGCGAGAAGGATCGCAGAATCTCTCGTGCCACGAAAACGATACGAGGCTACTAACCTCGAGTGGAACAGAAAAAAAGACGAACACGAAGTTTATTCTCGAAAGAAAGAGTCAACGTTCTGTTAAGCTACTGTGTGTGTGTGCTCGACGAACTGCCAAATCTCCACTTGGACTGACGAGCCTAAGTGAAGTTTTTTGCATCGCAGAGACAGCGAGCGTAGTCATCGACCCTCAACACCTTCACCCGCCATCATCAACGACACTGAGACGAGACGACGACGATGACCCAACGATGTGCCGAAGATTTTAGCGTAAAGGTAGTTTTTAAGCCGTAACTTCACCGTCGAGTCGCCGCGTCCGTCGCGTACGTAATTATTCGCACCCGGGAATCACATCTCACCGACGAGCCGAGCCGGTCGACAAGAACTCGCGAACGAATAAATGAAATTAATACGACGGTCTGCATTGCCGTATCATGCAATGGTGCCTTTCATGTAATAACATCAAATATTTTCATTAATAATCAAAGTCGAACTTAAGTTAGTAATTTCAGTTTTTCTTTTTTTTTTATTTATTTCTCCCCACCTAAACTAACGCTACAAAACATTTTTAAAATTGTATAATAGACCACTAGCTTTGGATAGTGCTGAGTATGCTATGATGATTTTAATTGAAAAGCAGAGAGTAAATAACTAGTAAGTGAGAAATTGTATTTCAAATAAGAATAAAGATATTATAAACCCACTGACACAGCCGTAGATGATGACTTTAAACATCTACCATTGATCTTGAAAGAGGAGGTGTAAAGTACAATTAAATGATCGAACGAACTTCAGTGAAGTTCGATTACTATTGTACGAACACCTCCTCCGAAAGATCAAGGTCCCACCCGGACCTTGTTTTATTGATTTAAATTCTAAAAACATCCTAAACTTAAACATCTACGGTAAACTTTAAAGAATGACGCGTATTGTAGTGGCGCACAGAGGAACGACCACGGAGGGCGCGCAAGGCTGATTTCAATTTTAAATAATACGTTAATAACGTGTGATATCTAGGACATGAATCGGGGGGGGGGGGGCNGGGGGGGGGGGGGGGGCTACCATTGATCTTGAAGGAGAAGGTGTTCGTATAATTTTAATCGAACTACACTGAATTTCGTTCAATCGTTTAATTACTTATCATCCCTCATGAAAAAACCAAAATAATAGTTATGATAATTATAATAATTTTGTGATAAATAATATTTTTTTCCTTCAAAAACGGCTATTTTCAAAATTGCGAATGATAGTCTCTGAAATAGTAGCCAGTAGCTTATCAGTAGCTTATTCAGATTGACACTGCTGCAAAACATGTACCAGACACCAATGCCTGCGTGCTGCGCTTTGCCTCGACAAACGCACGTGAATCATTTCTCGCTGCTGCACCGCGATTCCAGCGTCTCCCAGTGTCGAAGATTTTTGTATTGCCTGAAGCCGAGGACGGCCGTCTTAGTGCCGCTCCCATTCTGCCACCTGAGCGCTATCGACTACTGAGGAGATGCTGGCTTTTACGCAAACAACACAGACTGCCCAACCCTGTAGTACGCAACATGCGCATTTACATGCGTTGCCAAAATCGCACCAAAATCACCCTAATCAACACCGAAGCTGACCTGAATGCGTTTGCTATAGCACTACCATCGCTCTCTAGCTCGTTCACTTCTAGTCATCATCCATCACCAACCAGCGCATCATAGAATCCTGCACCCTTTCGTCGTCAAGAGCTGTCAAAATGTTCCTCAATAATTTCATTCGTACTCAAACTATCCTTTTGTAATCTACAACACTGTATGAGAGCCTACTGTTCCACACTGTTAATTTTTGCAAAACACTGAATTTATGTATATAGATATCTTTAATCTACGCCTCATCACTTTGTAAAAATTACTAAATATTGTACAATCTTGTTACAATAAGCACAATTGTAAAACTACTGCTGTAAATTTTGAAAATAGCTTGTAAAAAGCTGCATACTGTATACTGCTATGTGAGCCACATGGGGTTCTACCCCGAGGTCCGGATCAAATAAACAAATCAAATCAAATCATGTAAGCCAAAATAGTTGCTCTCACAACCTTATGATATTTTGTAACTGTTTTTTATGAATACCTTACTTCGATGTTTTTATAAATCCAATAAATTTCTCATGAATTGATAATGTAACTATGATTCATTTTGACTATTTTTTCAGTGATCACAAACAAACCATTCAGAGGCTAAGCTTAGATCAAGATGATATTGGGACTACAAATGATGAAGTAGTGTCTTTCATCGATCTTCCACCAAACACTTTATCTAAATTGCCTGAAAAAGGAATTTTAAAGAAACACGTCGGATATGGTAAGTAAATTCTCACATGTGCATGTATTTTTGTTTGAAGGTAACGAAATAGTATATTATGATATGTGGCCATTATTACACGGCGTGGTTAGCGTCCAAGCGTAGCGAGCAAACAAAAGAGGAACGAGTATGTGTGTGTGCGTGTAATCTGTAGCGAACAATGTCACTTCTTAATTATAAATAATTAATATTATTAAAAACCATCCCAATACAAAGTATAATATAAATCACAACCAAAAAAACTCTTCCTTTATACTACACCTTGGCAACAAGAACTAATAAATTTGTACCCTACGATACAAGGACTATAAGTAACACTTTATGACGCGGCGTGGTTTTAGGACCCGAGTCTAGCGGGTCCTAATAGCCGTGTCGAAAATTGTCCCATATGGTCCGAGCAATGAGTGTGATAATAGTTTATTGTCCAATCCCGACCACAGTATATTACAACATAATCTTTTTTAATTTTATTTTGGGTGTATTCAAAAATGTGAAATTCTGAAAAAATTTACACGCGTTCTTTGGTCAATTCTAAACAATATTTGTTGCACATGATTTTTTTTGGAAAAATGCTTATAGCCCTAAGAAATTATGATTATTGTAGTATGTATATTAGACTATTTCAGAAAAGTTGAAGGTCTTCAAAACCTCGATTTTACAATTTTAATATCTTTAGTACGCCTAAAAATGAAGCCCCAAAAAGTTTTATTTAGTTCAATGCAAAATTGTTTTATCTTTCAGAATCCAGCGTTAAAATTGAGATTCATGCATTACTTCACATTTTACAAGCAACTTTATGCTGGAAAACGTCGTTTTTGCGTTAATCAAGAAAAGTGTATTTGTTTTTTCAAAGAACAATCACCTATGAAAAAAATGACAATGCATTGTTTGGTAGGTTTTTGTTTCACCTTTTAAAAATTTTATTTAGAAAAATCGTTTCAAAACGGTTTAGATTTCGTTGAGATACAGCTATTTTTGTAAGATACGTTTTCGTAGTTGAAAATTCAGTAATTCGGCTTCAAATTCTCAAAAAATCACATTTTTCTCGCTGTTTACAAAATTCTTAGAAATCTATAGAAGCTACTATAATGAAATTGAAGCCAAAATTTTGCAAAAAGTTATTCTAATAAAGTTAACGTAGACTTAGTCTCCGATGAAAGGCTATAGCAATGGTAGGATTACATTAAATAAATAGCATTTATTATTTTCAAACACACAACATCCGATGATGTTGAGTGAATTTCGGTGATGGGCGAAGTCGAATCCCTAGCGAGATAGGGCAAACGTTTCAAAATTCAAACGATATTTTGAAATAAATCGTTGAAATAGTTTTAAGTGGGCACACCTGTGTTTATGCCTATAAATGAAAAACATGAAAATTAAGGGTTACTATTAAAATTTTTTGTTTCTGATGCAAAAATATGTTTTTATAAGTCTTTTTACAACAAAAAATATGTCCATAGTTCCTCTTATTATTGAAAATCATCCATCAAACATATATGTGGAAATCCGAGAAACTTTTAACTTTTCGACTAAAAAAAATTTTTTTTTTTCGTATGGCACGCATGTGCAACATCCAATTTTGTCTACTCATCGACTTGAAAAATGATAAAAATGTAAGGCTTACGGTTTTTATCAACCGGTATTTTTTTTATTTAAATAAGCGACTAATAAGGTAAATTCGAATTTTTTTGGTTAAAATTTTTATGGAAACTTCTAGAAATTTCACAGATTAAGCTTTATAAAAAAATCCAAAATCTCATGTCCGATGTATTTTTCGACGAGAAATCGAATAGTGACCTTGAATTTGACCTTGAACATAACCTTTGAGCTACAGTGAACTAAAAATCGATTTTTCAAATAAACACCCCCATTTTTTATTGCAGATTTGAAAAAATCCGAAAATTTTACGTTAAAATATGCCGTTATATTTTTCTTTAATATTTCGCTATCAAGTTAATATTTCTAGTAGACTTAATTTCAGTTATACGAGGTAATTTGCGTACTGCAAACTATATCTGCTAAAGGGCCTAAAGGGTGCTAAAATATTCGTAGAAAGCTCTATTTTTTTTAAATTGCTTGTCGAGAAAAGAACTTTGCGATGATACAAGTTTAATTTGGACTAAAAAATACTGTAATCCACGTGAACGTTTAAAAGATCCAGTTTTTCTGTCATTTAAAGTATTATGCTTAAATGCGACTAGCAACTGGATATTGACGCAGATAAATTGAGCAACTCAAATCCATTCATAATATATATGGATTTAAAGAAGACAAAATTATCAAGAAATGAAAAAAAATTCATCTTGATTCGATGAAAATTGACGGAGATAGAATCATTTGAGAATTTACGAAATATCAATAAAAATTGTTATTGTGATAATTATAATGCAGAGCGTACTAAGTCCATTTTTGAGAGATTAGAGGCAAATTAAATTTGATCGTTCTGCCAAAATGTCCAAAATAACCCAAATTTAAATTGGCTTGGGGCGCGAAGTCGATTTTTTTCACCTTCTGAGTGTGCTATCAAAAAATGTGTTATTTTTAGTCCGTTGGCCCAGCATAAATGTTGTATTCAATTCGATGTAACTTTTTTCCTTAAGGAGCACGCGGACCAGCGACATCTCAATCGATTTGGTTACTCAAGACCTTCAATCCCTAAATTTTGGTAGAGAACGATTAATCGATCATCTCAGAATATTCGATAAAGTATTAAAAACGTAATTTTGTAAAAATCGAGTTCCCTCGAGTTCCCATTACATAATTAAGGATTGGGAGTCTTGTGACGAGGGCACTGCTTGGACACAATTTTTTTTGAAAAATATAATCCCTCAACTACCCAGAAAAAAATTTTCAAAGTGCTTGGTGACTCGATCATTTTTAAATATCACTAAGAAATTATAAATCGGCTCCGGTTCCTTTTTACAGTGTGATAAAATCGTATGAAAATTATTTTATGCAATAGTTTGACGAAAAATTTATTTTTTCGCACATTTTTTAGTGCGCAAAAAGCGTTTGTGGACACTGGTGTGCGGTAAAATGCCCCATTTTTGACACGGGTGTGCGGTAAAACGCCTCATTTAAATAAACGTATTTTTCGCCTACTATTGCATAAAATTTTGTATGCAACACGTGCCCAGCTTTTTGCGAACAGTGTGCGGAAAAAACACCCACTCGTGCTGGCATATACGGCACTCGTGTCTTTTTCCGCATACTCGTGCCCAAAAACGCCTTTTGGGCACTTGTTACATAAATAACTATTATAACTCAGTATACTCCATGTTACACTAGTAAAATCTAATAATATATACATGATGACTTTCAATATAGTTTATAATAATAGAAGTATAGTCACTGATCCCGTTTAAATAATTACAGTACGAGTTCCACATCGGTTTCTTAAAAGTTAAAAGTTTCCCGGATTTCCACATATATTGACTTGTGATTTCTAAGTTCTTGACCGCATGATTTTGAATGTAATATTTAATCAATTGTGATACTTTTGGTCTCAAAAGTTTTGTAGTAAAATTCTTCTATACTTAAGTGTAGCAGATTTTTTATTTAGTTATTTTTTTAATCAACTAATCTCCAAATATAGCAATAAGCATTATTAAAATAGCTATTTTTGTCATTTTTTTTGTACTTTAGAATGAAAAAAATTTTCCAAGCCTTTTATTTAAATTCTGTTACACTTAAGTGGAAGAAAATTTTATTACAAAACTTTGGAGACAGCAAGGATCCGGATTGGTGAAAAATTTCATTCAAAATGACTTAGAAATCACAAGTCAATATAAATGTTTGATGGATGATTTTCAATAATAAGAGGAACTACAGACATATTTTTTGTTGTAAAAGGACCTATAAAAACATATTTTTACATCAGAAACAAAAAATTGTAATAAAAATCCTTTATTTTCATGTTTTTCATTTATAGGTATAAACACAAGTGTGTCCCCTTAATATTCTCTACGATTGCGTACGCTTCACATTCTCTCCTATTTTTTAAGTTACAAAGTGCGATAATTATTGTTCGTATTGTTAGTTTATTACGCGATGGAACCTAGATGGAAGAGACTGCAAGCAATCCAGAGATTGAAAATTCTATTGGAAAAACAAGAAAAATATGCTTCAAAGGCAATCAGTATGTAGATGCTCCTAAGACGACTCGCTTAATGAGTGCTAAAGAAAGATCTGCTGCTGAGAGCAAATCAGTTTTACAATCTGCATCATCTTCTGAATTGCAACCATTATCAGAGACACATACGCCAGGAGTATCTCAGTATCGACGGGTAGATATATCTCTTTTTTTTACTATTCCTGACAGAGATTATAGTATGACCATGTGGTGGCAAAGATTCCTTCGAAACGAGTCATGTTGGTGGCTTTGGATTTACTCTTAGTGTCAACTGTAACAAGTGCCTGAAATCTTCAAAAATTTCATCCTGCAAAAAAGTTGGCCCATAGAAAAATGTCTATGAATATAATAGAAAAATAATATTAGCGAAATTAATGAAAGCATTAGGCCATGGTTTAACTACCGTACAAACTCTTTTTGGGCTCTTAGATTTATCCAAGGTTATGGAGCAACATACATATGACGCAGTAGTTTCAACCATGAGGAGTGCTGCTGAAAGTGTCACTAAAGAATTCATATGTCGAGCAGTCAAAGAAAAAATGCAACTAACAAAAAGCAGTGATTTTACAGTATCAGGCCATGGTACATGGTGCACACCCGGATTCTCTTCCTTGCAAGGTGCAGGATGCAATGGTTATTAGTAATTTTTTTTTATATTAGTCTTTATTTACAATCTGTCCTGGTTGAGGACATTCGTTAAATGTTATACATATATGAAGGATAAGTAAGATTAATGAGTTTTTGTCCATTAACAAAAACTCTCATAGAATCGGCCCTCTTATGCCAGGGGGTTACAGTATGTACAGTATATTATATTTTACAGTATACTACATTAATTTATGTTTCTTGAGCCTTAAATTATCAAATGTCACGTTTTTAAGATTCAGTGTGAGCTGGTTTGGGTGGTTTTTGAGTCTCTTTTTGTATTTATTACTAAATCGTTGTATTTCTTCATGCACAGTTGGAATTTCCAGGTCTTTCCTCATAGCTTCATTAATAATGTACCAGGATGCATCTACTAGGCCACGCAGCACCTTCGATTGTAGTTTTTCTATAATTTCGATGTTTGACTTGGACACAGCACTCCAGAGTTGAATGCCATAAGTTCAGCAGGCTGTAGAATACTTTCGTATAGTAGCAGTTTATTATCTAGATTCAATGCTGACCTTCTTGCTTATTAGTAATGGGACTGGATAAGTTTTGGATGTAATTACCAAGAACACCTACTGCAAAGCTGACCTGGGTAAAAAAAGACAAAGAGTCATGCGAATATGAAGAATGGTTTGAAGAGCATAAAAATGAATGCACAATCAACCATGTAGGAAGTTCAGGTTTAATAGAAGTAAATGGTATAGTGGAGATGTTTTAGAGAGCAGAAGTAAAATTGAAAGTTCGATTCAAGAATGATATTGGAGATGGAGACTGTAAGGTTCACAAGAAAATATCAGTGGTCAAAAAATTTGGTAAAAACTACACAATGGAAAAGAAGAAGGACATAAACCATGTTAGAAAAAGAATGAGCACCCATTTTAAAAATAAAAAGAAACAACTAGGAAAAATTTTTTATAGACAATAAAATCATTGGTGCAAAAGGATGTCTAATTACAAAAGTCATTGACCAACTTTCCTGATTGTACATTAACGCCATTAGAGAACAAAAAACAGTGAAGGATATGCATAATGCCATAT